AAATGCTTGTCCACTTCAATGTGTTTCGTCCTATCATGCAGGACTGGATTARCARCAATATTGATGGCARCTTTATTGTCACAGTAGAGTGACATAGGATTGCTCACTGCAAAACCCAGTTCACCTAATAGATTTCTTATCCACATGATTTCAGCAACCCAATGAGTCATCGCTCTATACTCTACTTCAGCACTAGATCTAGCCACTGCACTTTGTTTTTTACTTCTCCATGTGACCAAGTTTCTTCCTTCAAAGGCACAATACCCACTGGTAGACTTTCGGTCATTGACTGCTCATGCCCAATTTGCATCAGTATATAGTTCCACCTTTAAGTGGCCATGTTTCTGGAACAACAAGCCAGCTTCGGGAAACTTCTTGAGGTATCTCAAGATCCTCTTTGYAGCTTCAAAGTGAGTTGTCCTAGGGTTGTGCATGAATTGACTAAGGACACCCATTGCATAGGCAATACCAGGCCTGGTTATAGACAAATACAAAAGCCTCCCCACGAGTCTCTGGAACTTCTTCACATCTTTCAAAAACTCTCCCTGATTGTCTCCCAGATGATGATTAAATTCAATTGGTGAATCAATTGGTTTTACCCCCAACTTGCCTGTATCTTCTAGTAGATCCAGTACATATTTCCGTTGGAAAATAAGGATGCCCTTGTGAGAGCGGGCAACTTCAATTCTAAGGAAATAACGTAAGGTGCCTAGATCTTTCACCTCAAATTGAGTGGCTAAGAATTCTTTTAGTCTCCGGACTTCAGTCTCCCAATCTCCTGTGATCACTATGTCATCCACATACACAATAAGAGTTGCAATTTTCCCTTCACCTCTTTTCACAAATAGAGTGTGATCTGACTGGCATTGTTTGAACCCCATCTGTTGAACTGCTAAATGGAACTTACTAAACCAAGCCCGAGGTGATTGTTTCAACCCATATAAAGATTTTTTTAACCTGCACACCTTTTGTTCATTGCCTTTGGCACAAAACCCTGGAGGTTGGGTCATGTACACTTCCTCTTCTAAGTCACCATTCAAGAAAGCATTTTTGATGTCTAGTTGGTGAAGTTCTCAGTCAAGATTTGCTGCCAATGAAAGAAGAATCCTGATAGAGTTCATCTTGACTACTGGAGCAAAAGTCTCCGCATAGTCCACTCCATGTACCTGTGTAAAGCCCCTTGTTACCAGTTTAGCCTTATACCTTTCAACAGTTCCATCAGCCTTGTGTTTCACTGTGAACACCCACTTGCAACCCACTGGTTCCTTCCCTTCAGGAAGGTCCACCAACTCCCAAGTGCCATTTTTGTGTAAAGCATTAATTTCTTCCTGCATTGCATCTGTCCATTCAGGCTTAGACAAAGCTTCTACCACATTCTTAGGAACGGGGACACTGTTCACAAAAGAGAGGAATGCACGGTATGAAGGCGAAACATGATCATAGGACACAAAATTAGAGATAGGATGATTAGTGGTACACGACCTAACACCCTTTCTCTTAGCAATAGGAATATTAAGATCATTGATGACAGGTGAATCAATATTTAGAGGAACAGACATATCAATAGGAGCAAGTGTACCTGGCTGATGAGACGGATCTGCCTTGGGTGAATCCGATGATGTTGGTTGCATAGTGTCAGGTTCCACGGCTCTTGAACTCTGTTGGCTTTTATAACGACGATGAAAAACCCGGAATGGAGGAGGATCGGGTAAAGGAGGTAGTTGAGTTTGAGTCGCCTGTTTCTCCTCAACCCTACTCTCCCCCTGAGGAGAAACCGAGAAAAAAGGTTGATTCTCAAAGAAGGATACATCAATAGAGACATAGTACTTGCGAGAGGTAGGATCATAGCAGCGATACCCCTTTTGAGATAAAGGGTAACCAAGAAAAACACAAGGAATAGCCCGAGGATCAAGCTTACCTCGAGTAGGGGACAGGTTATGGACAAAGCAACGGCACCCAAAAACACGCATTGGAATGGTGGACAATGGGGCTGTAGGAAACAAAAGCTGATGTGGGGCCTTATACTCTAGTAGCCGAAAGGGCATGCGATTGATGATATATGTCGCACACAAGACTGCATCCATCCAAAACCATTTTGGCACATTCATATGAATTAATAAGCCCCGAGCTACTTCGAGAAGGTGGCGGTTCTTCCATTCAGCCACACCATTTTGTTGGGGTGTCCTGGCACAAGAGCTTCGCTGAAGTGACCCACTCRAAGSAAAAAWCTCCRTGAGATCACTATGGAAGTATTCCTTCGCATTGTCCGACTGGAAGATATGGATTTCCGTTTGAAACTGAGTGAACACCATGCATTGAAAATCTTTCACAATTTTTGGCTCTTCATCTCGAGATCGCATAGGGTAAACCCAGGTGTATCTAGAATAATCATCAATCAAGGTAATGAAGTACTTATAACCAGCCTCAGTAGGTAGAGTAACAGGGCCCCAAACATCATAATAAACAATATGAAATGGAAATTCAGATTTTTTATTTCGCAAAGGTAAAGAACTTCTACAATGCTTACTCAATTGACATGTCTGACACTGTAACTGACTCACTAACAAGGAATCAAACAACTTTGGAAACATAACTTTTAATGACTCAAAAGAAAGATGACCTAGACGACTATGCCATAGATAGGCTTGACTCTCACTTGAYGAACTCATGGACTCTGTAGCCACAAGACCAACTTTATTCTTCAACACGTAGAGACCATCCACCATGCTTCCTCTACCAATCGTCTTCCCCGAGACCAAATCCTGAAACACACATAAAGACGGAAAAAAAGTAATTGAGCAGTTCAAGGAGTGAGTTAGACTACTAATGGACAGCAAATTAATAGGTAATTTTGGAACATGCAGTACATTAGGAAGGGTAAGGCCAAGTGGRAGAGGTATGGTACCTCGGCYAGCTATGGTAGAAAAAGAACCATCAGCTAGTCTTACCTTATCTCTCGCAGAGAGAAGGTTATATGTTTGAAATAAATTTGACTTACCGGTCATGTGGTTTGAGGCTCTGGAGTCAATAATCCAAGGAGAATCAGTAGTATGAGATGACACATGGAAGGCTGTGGCAACATTACCTGATGTAGACGCAAACGAGGTAGAGGGAGTAGGACCAGATTCCATTTGGCGAAGAGTCCTACCATACAATTCCAAATGTTCACGAAAGGAGTTGATAGTATCTTCCTTAGGGTCAAAACTGGGATGCCTCTCCTGAGTTACCAAAGGACTAGTCTCTGTCGACACCATATTAGC